GATCCTGTCAGACTGTCTTCTGAAAAATCACAAATTTACAAAAGGGGAAAGACTTTAATTCACAGTCAAAAGTATTTACTTGGAACCTTTTATCAAATTCAGGCTTCAGTTCTGAATTGTGTATTGTACTGTAGCATTTAGAGTACTAACTGTGGCAGTAAAAACACAGTATTGGAGCAGTGGGAGAAGAGTAGTTTGTTTTTGTTAAGTCCCTTGGTAGTTTTAATATGCTGATATGTACATACATATATACATACATATATATAAAATAATTAAGGATATTCAACATATCTTGGTACAAACCACATAAGGATAAGCATTTTTTAAGCATCAGTAATATCTCCTATAAAGCAGCTATGCAATATTTTCAAGTATTTTATAGCAACGTGTGGAATCTTTGTCATTCAGAGCAGAAATTTTTCCCATGGCCTTTTCAATTTTGAGGACAGGATCTCTTCCTTCTTTCTCTTCTTCCTTTCTCCCTTCCCCTTCATCTTCCCCTGTTTTTTCCTTTTTTTCCTTTCTTAGAGACTGAGTAGTGGGAAAAATTATTTATCCCATTTGGTACAGTAATTTGGATGCATAAGCATTGCTCAACTCTGAGCATTTGACTCTGTTAGCTTGACAGATGTCCATTCTCTGAATCAATCTTACAGGAACTTTTTCCCTGATGTAAAGTAACTGAGATACATTAGCGTATGTGGAATTAAATGTAATTATACAGCAAATCTCTCACATCAGCTTGTATTCCAGACTACTTTGCAAAAATGAATAATATAATTAAAAAGATGAATAGCAGAGGAAAAGGGAAATTAAGAATAAAAAATTGCTTTCAGGTGAGTTTTGAAGATGCTCATAATGACTCAGCCAGGAATGTTTCCCTTCTGTAGGAAATTACAAAAAAAAAACTTAAGCTATAGGATAAAAATACTATAGACTATTGAATGTCTGTATAGTATTGTCCACCTTCCAAGGGGCAAAGAGACTGCTGTGTCTTCAGTGAGCAGAAAAGCAGACACTAGTAGTTATCATTTGCAGATAAGCTGAGACAATGAAAACATAACCTCGTGAATAGTGTGTATGTTGCTGTCTAAAATCAGTTGAATGCACACATATTGTTCTAGTATTGTTCTAGTTACATCTAGATTCAAGGTTTCAAAACATTGGATTTCATTCTTCTAACAAACTGATTTTTTTGAAAGATGTCTCTCTGCTGATTTAAATTGCTATTCCTCATTTTTGCCAGTGTAATTGAGGATGGAATTGCCCCATTGCCCTTGTAGGAAAAATGTTCAGTCCTGTTCCAAATGAACCACAAATAGACTAATCTGTGGAAAACAGTCATCTTCCCTGTAAATGACTGAGAACAACTAATATGCATACTCACATAAAGTAGATGAAACAGAGGTTTAGATCGCTTTGAAAATCAATGTGTACTGGCCACATCTGTCTGTAGTTCAAATATTAAATTTTCATTGAATTTCTCCTTTTTCCCCCAAGATCAAAAGAAGCATATGGCTTTGTATATGTTTAACTAGGAAAGAAGTTGATATCTCATGTCACGTCAGCTGTTAGGAAGTGCACTGTGCTTTTCCCTTTGCATTTGAAGTGAAAATGGCAATTTCGAACAATTTCACAGAGAAAATGAAAGGAGCAAGAGGATGAAAAATACAGAAGTGCTCATTTGAAGAATGAGTGGCTCTGACACAAATGAAAGGAAAAAAACTCTGAGAAATGTCTATTGTTTTGGCATAGACTATTCTGAAAATTTTATACTGGTTTTAACAGCAGAGAAATATATCTCTACAGAGTCTCCAAAGGAGTGAAGAGGAGTGGAAAAAAAAAAAAAAAAAAAAAAAAAAAGGAGAGAAAATCAGACTGACTGGCATCTCTGCTGTGTAGTGATTTAAAAACTAGTTTTCTGCTTCACTGCTCAGTCCCCAGAGCAAAATACTTGCAGAAAAGAAAAAGACAAGAGTTACATTAAAGAAAAGCTTTGTCATTTTACTTATGAAGCAGGGTATTTTCCTCTCATGCACAAGGCCAAGATCAGCTCATCAAACACCTCTCCAACTCCACTGCCAGCAATGGCACATGAGGCAAAATAGTGCAGGCTGATAGGTTATAACTGATGGTTAGAAGTTTTTCAGAGCCTATATAACCACTGTAAATACTGATCATGAAACTTTTATGTAATAAAAAATTGTATTTACACTTTTAAATACATTTTCCTTAGGGCACAATTCCTCTGCTTCCCTTTGCCTCTTGGCTTCAGAGGTGGGTACCCACACTACGTGGCTCTTCATGCAATAAAATGTACCTTATGTCAGGCAGTGGAGAGAAGGTTCTCAATATTCTTGCTCCATTACCAAAGGTCAGTGAAGTTGGTTCCCTCTAGCCAGTGGTTACCATATAATATATATAGGTCCAAAAGGGTCCACAAAAAAAGGAGAAAATATTTGCTACAAAAGCCCAAAAAATACCTGTCTGTATTTGATGATATTTTGATTCGTCTCTGCAATAGTTCCATGAAGGTTTCTTCTCTGTTTCCTTTCAATAAGCTTAAAAAGAGCATATATTATAAATGTAATACAGGGAGAGAGCTGACAGCACAATTATTTCTTTCTACGTCTAGTTCTGTTTGTTTGTTTGTTTTTATAAAGACATTAGAATTTGGTGAAAATCAGCCCTACCTTCTCTATTTTCCTTGACTGTTAACAAATTCAAAGGAAACACAAAAACTAAATTTAAATACTACTCTTTATTTATCTGCCAAAATACTAAAGTTAAATTTCCCTTAACTACTAATACAGTTCACAGGTAGCATGCTAATGTAACTGATGATGAGAATATCCAATAATAAAGACCCACATTTTATCACGGTACTAAAATCGTATTTTTTCTAATTCCAGTGTAAATAGCAACTAAAAATAATTAAGACTGGTCTTCTGCCCCCTCATCAGCTGAGAACTAGAAGTTATAAATGCTTTTTCAAAAGCAAGTGGTATGTCTTCCTATAGTGTCTATCAGTCTGATATGTTGACAAAGATATTTATATGTAGATAGATATTAAAATAAGATAGTGTTTTTTTAATAAAATACATTATTAGCTGACATGGAAATTATTCATCAACAACATAGCTAGCATCAGAAAATAGTAATTCCATAAAGTATTAGAGACCTTTTAATGAGTGTGTTGTTAATAGCTGTTCCCCAATACTGGTGACCATCTGTGACTGCTTCACCATCTGTGATTGCTATATAAGTTTGGGAGAGGGAAATAACAGTGGCATTGGACTGAATTTGTAATTTAAATTAATAGCCAACTAGACCTACTGTAATTGATTAATTTGTCTTTGATTATAACTACACACTGAGCTAGAGAAAATTAGTTTCTTAGATTTGTTGGCAAAACATGGGTTTGGGAAGTGGCCACACGAAGTTGAAAACAAAATTGTTACATTTATTGAAATCTGAAAAATGAAGAAGTAGATGGAATTGAGATGAAATAGATGAAAAGAGCTGACATGACACTTGAAAAGGTAGTGGATATTTCTTTAAAGATCTGTGACAAATATTGATTATTGTGATTTGCTAAGATTAGTTAGCAGGGGAGCAGCAAAAGCTGTTTGTCAACTCGTTCTAAAAACTTTTACAATTTCTTGACAACATATTAGAATAAACTAGGAAAACAGTGTTTTTTATTGCTAAATAAAATTAATCTTGTTGACTTCTTATCTGAAGTAGCATTTATTTCAGAAGAAATTTCATTTTTAATTAATAATAGTTAATGCTTGCTAAAGTGCTGTGCTTGCCTACAGAGGCAGAAGAGACAAGTTAGTTAATATTCTTTTTATTTCCCTCGTTAAACTGTGCTAAAGTGTTTCCATATTTTTCTATCAACAAGTCTGCATTCTGTACTGACTGATGTGGTTATTCTTGTGTACCTGTATAGACCAATCCATAGCAAGGTATTGGGGAGTTAGGGTACAATTTCAAAATTATTAAAGTTCCACTTCTTAGTGTATCAACATTGAGTGGGAACCTAAATTTACCTCAAAACTAAAATAAATCTTTCAAAAGCACTAGTAATTTTGAATGCAATGTAGATTGCATCTAACCCATTTTGTTGCCTGCTTTCCTAGTTGAAGAGAGTAGGCATCTCCAAAAAAAATCAGCCTAAGGTACATGCTTCTCTTAGGGCAGAGTGAATCAGCCTCCTACCATTAACTGTGGAGAAGTCTGGACATCTGGTTTGAGTAGATTCCTGTATTTTGATATTGCTTAACTTCTTTAAGTTTTAAAGTGTAGCAACAGAGGCGAGACAAAGATGGCAAGGTGGACTGAGGGGACTACCTCTTGTATCAAGTATATTGGCACAAGAAAATCCTGCTTTGGTGTCTGGATTCTAGTAAAAGCCATAACTGCCCAGTACGCACTCGGTGTCTCATTGTATGGCTAAGAGGCTTCTATTATATCATATGATTACACATATGTATATATATATATATGAATATGTATACATGTGCATTTATAATTATACATATATATTCTTTCAATTAAATGTTATGTAGAAGGAGGGTGCACAGGTCTATATATTACTACCCTCACACGTATACACACACTGTGTGTGTTTAAGTAAAATTATATGGAGATTAAAATAAATAAATAAATAAAATAAATAAATAAAATACCATCTTAATTCATTTTTAAGAATGTAAAGTAGATTTTTCAGTCTCTGAAACAAAGACCTGGTGAGCATCTACTTTGTTTTGCAATAGATTTCTCATCTTCCTGACCTTTAGCAGATTACTAGCATTTATTTTTTTTGATACTGTTTGCTGCTGCTTATTCACAGATACCACAAGCTTCCATCTCAGTTACAGAAAGTATGTGGTTAAGATACAAATCCATACAATGAAACAAATTTAAAACTCCTTGTGATCTATTGGCAATCAAGACTCCAGAATAGTGATTCAGTATTGTTTCTTCTATTGCAGACAAAAGGTTCTTCAAGCATTACTCCATCTGGCACTCAGAAGAAGGTGAAGAGGACTCTGCCCAACCCACCTCCAGAGGAAGCAACAGCAGGAACTCAGTCACCATATACTTCTGTGGGATCCGTTTCACGCAGAAGGATTTGCAGGACCACCACTATGGCCAGAGCCAAAATTCTTCAGGATATAGACAGGGAATTGGATCTGGTTGAACGGGAATCCGCCAAGCTTAGGAAAAAGCAAGCAGAGCTAGATGAGGAGGAGAAAGAAATAGATGCCAAATTGAGATACTTGGAAATGGGCATTAATAGGAGGAAAGAGGCCTTATTAAAAGAAAGAGAAAAGAGAGAGCGTGCCTATCTCCAAGGAGTAGCAGAAGAACGTGATTATATGTCAGACAGTGAAGTTAATAATACCAGGTCAACAAGAATAGAAACTCAACACGGCTTGGAAAGACCACGTACTGCACCCCAAACAGAATTTAATCAGTTTATTCCACCACAAACCCAGCCAGAAACACAGTTTGCCCCTGCTACAAGCCCATATGCTCAATATCAATATTCATCTCCTGCCCTGCCTACACAAGCACCAACTCAGTTCACACAGCAATCACATTACCAACAACAGCAGCCTTTGTATCACCAGCAGGTTTCACCCTATCAGACCCAAACAGCTTTCCAAACTGGAGCTACTATGTCCTTTACTCAACAGGCTCAACCTCCACCAACTCAACAGCCGTCATATCAGCTCCCATCACAGATGATGGTGATACAGCCAAAGCCGAGACAAACTCCATTATATTTGGAGCCTAAGATAACAACAAACTATGATGTGATTCGCAATCAGCCTCTCATGATAGCACCAGTTTCAACTGACAATAGTTATGCAGTTTCCCAACTAGGTAGTAAATACTCTACCTTGGACTTAAGGTTAGGACTAGACGAGAGAAACAGCATGGCAAGCAGCCCTATATCAAGCATATCTGCAGATTCATTCTATGCAGATATAGACCACCACCATACACCCCGAAATTATGTGCTGATTGATGACATAGGAGAACTTACTAAAGGAACAGGAACACTGGGTTCCAGTTTTAGCCTCCATGAGAAAGATCTTACCAAAACAGATAGACTACTTCGCACAGCTGAGGCCAGGAGAGCACAAGAAGTATCAGACTTCCTAGCACCACTGCAGACTTCTTCTAGGTTACATTCCTATGTTAAAGCTGATGAAGACCCAATGGAGGACCCTTATGAGCTCAAACTTCTGAAACATCAGATAAAGCAAGAGTTCCGTAGAGGTGCAGAAAGTCTTGATCACTTGGCTGGCCTGTCACAGTATTACCATGCGGAGGGTAGCTACAGGCATTTTCCCAAATCTGAGAAATACAGCATAGGTAGGCTTACCCTTGAGAAACAGGCTGCTAAGCAGCTTCCAGCAGCCCTCCTCTACCAAAAGCAGTCAAAACACAAGAAAACTTTGATAGACCCCAAACTAACAAAGTTTTCACCCATCCAAGAAAGCAGAGACCTTGAGCCTGACTATTCAACCTACATGACTTCATCAAGCACTTCATCACTTGGGGGAATTACTACTAGGGCAAGGCTTCTTCAGGATGATATCACTTTTGGCCTTAGAAAAAACATCACTGACCAACAGAAGTACATGGGGCCACCACTGACTTCATCCATTGGAGCAGGCCTTGGGACCGCACTAGGTCCAGCAATGAGATCCACATTACAAGATGAAGCAGACAAGTCTTATAGCAGTGGTAGTAGATCTAGGCCCTCATCTAGACCCTCCTCAGTTTATGGGCTTGATTTGTCATTGAAAAGGGATTCTTCCAGTTCTTCTTTAAGACTGAAAGCCCAAGAAGCTGAACCCCTAGATGTTTCGTTTAGCCATGCAGCACCTTCTGGAAGAACTAAACCCACCAGTCTACCTATTAGCCAAAGCAGGGGAAGGATCCCAATAGTAGCACAGAATTCAGAGGAAGAGAGCCCACTAAGTCCCGTTGGCCAGCCAATGGGAATGGCAAGAGCAGCAGCTGGACCCTTGCCACCAATATCTGCAGATACCAGGGACCAGTTTGGATCGAGCCATTCATTACCTGAGGTCCAGCAACATATGAGGGAGGAGTCACGGACTCGAGGCTATGATCGAGATATAGCCTTCATCATGGATGACTTCCAGCATGCCATGTCAGACAGTGAAGGTAAATTAGGCCTCAGACTGGTATCTTACTATCACAACGCAAACCCTCATTTCTATGCATGCGTCTGATTTTTGTTATACCACAAAGACTTGTTCTTACTTTTCCTTGGTGCATCTTCTGTGTATCTACATTTCTGGGGTTTTATTTGTTTTGTTTTGCTTGATATTTTTTATCTTACCCTAACTGCAGTTTCTGGATGGTGTTAAGCTACTCAAGCATGCTCACTGTATTGTTGATTTACATTCCTTTTGGCTTGCTCATGCATTTTCTTTTTCTTTTGTTTATATCTACTTTTCTAATGACGGTGTGTAGAATATTCTGTGTACCATACCCTACCATCAGTCTTTATGTGGAGCCCTTTCCAGTGACAGTGGATCATTGAACTTATCTGCAATAGTTTTTGTTTGGATTTGGAAATAATCTCCCAAATCCTCTAAAGAAATCTAGTAATTTTAATTGCATGAAATTTCATTATAGAATTCAAGAATTGATAGTTCCATCTCCTGATGCACCACTTTAAATCTACATATATAGAGAAATAGAATGTTCATTAAGTACATATTGTACATTTGAACCATATAGAACTTAACGTGGTGGCAGAATAGCATTCTACATATGGTTTGTTGACAGCATCCTGTTATGTGGAATTCTGTGCATTCAGACTTGTGATGATGTAAGATAATTTGTCATTTGGATGGTGCAAGACAATCACATCCTTCAATAAACTTCCATAAAGTATTTTATTTCTATTGATTGATATGCAGCATAGCTGTTTTTATATGCACCACATACAATATGTCTGCCAAATAAGCACAAGAGTTTTTCTCACTTAGGTTCATGAAAGGAACCTTTCTGATGTATAATAAATAGTGCAATTAAAAATGTTTCTTCTAAATAAGTACAGCAGAATGTTAAAACTGATGTTAAGTACTGAATAATTGCAGATTATGTATCACTTTTGTTTGAATCAGTTCAGACTTAATATATTCTAAATTGTTTAAAAATCATAAAGACAGTTTGAAAGAAAATGAAAGTAATATGTTTAAAATTGTATGCGCTCCCTTAACTTTTTCTTATGTGTATTTACTGCACAATAAAAGAGACTTTGCATGTGCTATATTGTCTGTAAATGGCAATGATTGTCTCAAAAGACACATTTGCATGATTATGAAGTAGTACAGTTTATTTTTCAGGTTTATATTAACCTCAGTGTTCCTTTGTATGTTATTGCCTTTTTACAAAAGCTGAATCTTTCATAATGGTTAGAAAATGAAATCTGTTTGCTGTCCTGATACTACAATATATTGCAGTATTTTGTTCTGTTTCTTTTCATATTACTTAGATATTAACCTCCTCATGAAGTCTGCGTTTCAGAGGAGGTTCAAGAGTGTCACCATTTTTGATTTTCATCACAAATTTAAGTATTCTCACTATTCTTAAATTCTTAACACACACACACACACACACACACACACACGCACACACACACACACATATGGCCATATAATTAAACCACAAGTCAGTTAAAAAAAACCCTCCCCAGGTTATCTTGTCTCGACTCAATTTGTGACTACATTGAAGGGTCACATTGTGCAAAACTTTCCCCATGAAAAATAAGGATAATCAAACTGGACTGCAAAAAGATTATCTGGCGCTATTCTACCTCATATAAGCAGGTCATAGGGAATTTTATTTCTGCACTACAGTGCATTACGTCTCTGTTATGTATTTGTACAAGGCATGCGTTTTACATATTAGGTTAGATCTGGTTTGGTTTTAACTTAGTTTCTGATTAGTTTGACTCTTTCAGAAGCATTCTATCTCAATTAAAATGTTCCTTATTAGACTGACAGGTCTCTGAATACCAGGCTTCCCCTTTCTGCAATATATGTTTTTCTAATTTTTCTCATCTTCTGGCTGAACCATTTTATGTATAGTTTTAATAAATAAAACACTTCAAGCACCTTGAATTGAAAATCATCCATGTAATTGGGTGTAAGATACAATTTATCCCTGAAAAGTGATTACAGTTTTTCAAAAAGTTATGGTCTTCTTTTCTCAGGACTGTACTTCTCTCTCAAGTGCCCTGACAGTGGACAGCTACTCTTGCTATTTGTATTCCACTTTTTAGCACAGATTTCTTTTCTTTTTATTGCTTAATTTTATGAATGTAAAAAGTCAGCTCAGTATATATAAATTGTACCTTTTCTCACCTCAAGGATTATTTTTCTTTTAAATACTGATTGTTGACTCTATCATAGAGCTTAGTAACTTAAAATTCAGGCATGAAAGCATCAATGAAATTGAATCTGCACACTGATTTTTCACCATGCACACACAGTTGAAAATATAAAACAATATCTTTAGTGATAGTCTCTGTTGATGACATGAAATTACTGTGAATGCTCAGGCTTGCACTCTGCCAATAACAGTAGTATCTGTTGTACATCTATAGTACATCTATAACTGTATTATCTCTCATGATCACTACAGCACAGCTGACCCTTGGTAAATTTTCATCCATGGGATATAGAGTGATTTCCTCTGTGAGTGATTTAGATGAGGGATTTTTCTGATCAAGATTATTGGAATCTACAACCTAGCATCCAATCTCACCTTTTTTAATTGTTTAATTAACAGTATTGAACCTTACTGACTACAGCAAAAGTTTTTGCAGGTGGAGCAATCTGACTCTAAGACCGTCAGTAATTCATCTTGGCCAAATCAAGCCAAAAACAGTAGTGTGCTTTACTGGAGGATCTGTTGGTGTTAGGTCAAAGGTTGGACTGGGTGATCTTGGAGGTCTCTTCTAACTTAGATGATTCTGTGATTCTGTACATATGAGTGTGGTGTGTATGTTTATATACACATAACGTTTTGAAATTCCCTATAAAATATGCACATTCATCATAGTTTTGAGGGGAATATAAATAAATAAATAAATAATAGCCCGGTCTGAACTGCAGCATGGAAATTCTGTGTATGTGCTAGCTTTTTTAAGGAAGAAGTCCAGAAAAAGTTATTTCAGGTGAGATGGCAGGAGGAAAAGAGGAAAAAAAACAAACATTATTTTTTCTGCTCAGCTGATGACACTGGTTGTGATAGTCAACATTAGCATATGGGATCAGAAAACTTCATTAGGTTTTTACTATAAGCCTCAGTAAGAAGTTCTCTCAAGATGAGTTATGAACCAGAGGCATTAGCAGGCATTAGCCAACTGGCACAAATGTGTAAAGCATAAAATCTGTGTATTAGATTGTAGTGTTTTATTGACAGCAGTTAATCAGTAACTGATCACTAGCCATACAAGTATTAACCTTTACTTATGTTTCTTTACTTCTTACATGCTAATCTGAACATTATTTTCAAACTGTTGTTTGATAGATCAAATTATGCACGGTTAAGAAGGAAGAGACTGCATAACATCAGAACCAAAATTAAGATCTGTCCAAAGACCTGCTATAATATCAGATGTTTTTTTTTTTTACCACATAGAGGACATACAGAATATTATTAATTTTTAAAATCATGCATATACACTTTTCCTGTTTTGGAAGTAATTTAAAGAAATAGTCAAGAAAAAAACACAACTTTGTTTTTCCATTAATTATTTTTTTTCCAAGCATTTATTAAACCAATTTGATTACATTTAACAACAACAACAACAAAAATAGGTAAGACTATGCACACTACCATTTTGCATTTTTTGCAAGTTCTCTCTCATGTCGTGGAACAATTGCACTCATTCTTGTTACTATAGCAACAGCTGACCTTATTTTAGGTTTGCAATTTCTGATATTTTTGCTGAAACAAATACCATCTTTCTTCTAATTTTCAATTTATCTTTCTTATTAAAACATAATCTAATAACAATTTTATAACTAGCTGCAAATCTTTGGTTTACATTGATGGGCAATATATACAAAAATCTGTATGTTACATAGTAGAAATGTTATTAAATGCATAGAAGCTGATTCTAGTGAAACCTACTAGTGTGAAAGCTACTTGTTGTCCTGATAGTCAGTAGGCATTAATCTAATTAATTAATTAATTAATTAATATTTATTTATAAATATTAAATATTAATTAAATATTTGAAAAACTGATTTAAATAAAACAGTGTTATTTAATCCCCCACGAGTATCTAATACAACAGATTTTATACCAGTTTACTGTTGCAAATATAGGAACATTAGTCTTAGCAAGTTATTTCATGAAGAACATTCTTGGTAACTTTCCAAGCAGAAAGTTCATACTGCAAAACTGGGGGATGGAATTCAAAGTGAGAACACCTGCAATAATTCTGCCTAGAATTATGAAAAATATAGATAGCTTTTAGTTCATATCGTCTTCATAAAGCAGGCTCAGTTTTCATGTCAGTAGTTTTAGATGATCTCCAAAATATTTTGAATAATTTTTAGTTCCAAAATTTGGGAATTGGTGGAAGTAGGTGCTTGAGGGTTTATTATCATTATTGTTATTATTTTATTTTTAGCCTACTCTAGAGTAACTACTTTCACTATTTTTTTAATCAAACATTTTAGAATTGTTTGAAGTCTGCAGTGTATTTCTGAGCTGCTGGAAAGAAGGACATGGCTATAGCACTCAGCAGTGTGTTTCTTCTGATATTTAATATCCATAGTTATAAACTAAACAGAATCTTCTCACTCTGTTTTATCACTTACAGCTAAATTATGCCTTAGTTCAATGTCTCAAATCTCGCCTGTAACTTTGCTTTAGCTGCATGGCCAATTAATTGATAACCACTATGCATGTTTGCTATGCACAATGCACATTATTGCCCTTTGCCCAGCACCGGATCAGAGCATTTGACCTGTCCTTGGTTTTCAAAGCCTATCATCTGCGTCGTGAAGAAACAGATTGGTTTGACAAGCCCAGGGAATCTCGTTTGGAGAATGGACATGGTCTGGACAGAAGGCTGCCAGAGAAGTTGTCCCACTCTCGACCACCAAGTCAACATCAAGATCAAATTAGCTGCCAAGTAAGCCATTACTTCAGCTTTATAACTGTTTGAAAAATTAACTATCATGCTGTCCAATAGTGTAGAGAGTATGGGATTAATTAAATTCCAGCAGCTTTCAGCTGAAGTGCCATCAATACTGGATGACGGCATTAGAAAAGAATTGCTCTGCATTTCAGTATTAATTTTTTGGGTTGTTTTTTAATTTCTGAAACATATCTGGAAGGAGTTAATCTACTAACCAAAACCATATATATATTAGGTTTTCCTATTAAGAAAAAACATAGTTGTTCCAATTTTAGCTTATCAGCTTTATCTGATCCAATTTCAAGCCCCTTATAGTAGTCTAAGGAAAAGATTTATTTTAGTTTAGTTTAGTTTAGTTTAGTTTTTAATCCTGTTAACATTGTCTCACACTAGTAGCTGGTCAGTGTAATTCCAAGAGCTTGTAATCAAGTACTGAACATATAAACAAGACTTCATAAATCTAATAATTAAAACATCTCATTTATCATGATGAGAAAGAAAAATACCATATGTTTTTTCCAAACATGCTGATTTGAAATCTAGTTCATCTTAGTATACCATCACATATCCTCTTTGTATAAATGAAGTTTACATATCTCATGTGTTATCTTTAAGTAATTCACTTGGTTATTTAAGCTATCATTTTTACTGATTGACTGTAATGATACTCTTTTCCATAAGGTACAATGCAAGGAAGGTGTATTGCATGGCCCCTTGATGCTACTTAATAACATCAAGTGGTATGTTAATTCCTCAAATAACGTTCAAGCAGGACTATCCTACTCTCATGCAGCCTTAGAAACTTTTTTGGATGATGAATATTTTCACTGACATTTGACAGTAGAATGTCGCTTTTATGAATTAAGCATTCAAATATCTTAAAATACAAGCTGTTATTTAATTTTTTTTCTCTCCTTTGCCTATCTCTGATTTAGCATATTTATAGATTTATACAGGCTAGGTTGTCCTGAGCCTAGCCATTTCTTGTTGAGAAAGAGGGCTTTACAATATACAGTCTTACAGGAATCTATTAAAACAGATCTCACCACAAACCAGTTTTATTTCAGGATAAAGGATGTTTTAGTCTTCACAGCACTTAATATCACTGGAAATGAGAAAAAAAGAAAAAAAAAAAAAAGAGCACTTTCATCCTCTTCATCCTCATGAGAAATATGCTGATTATGTTGTTATTCTGAACATACAAAATTGTGTTTGATCACTTCAGCATCATGGCATAAAGTTTAAAATTTGCTTTGAAAATCAGGTTTGCCCAAGAACATGGTTACTGTTATCCTGATATGGAGGTGATCAGTAAGATTTAAAAGTATTTAACTTTTAGAGATTGATTTACCCTTGGAAAAAGTTCCAAGGTGTTACTAATCACAAAGGTCCGATCTTTGTGGCTTTTCTGTTTGTTTGTTTTGTTTTGCTTCGTCATTTAAATAGCACTACAATAGGATTGGTTGAAAGACTTTGATCAACATTTTTGGGGAGGAAAGTTAAGGTAGCTGAGAAATCTTGTGTTATTGGATTATTTCAAGAAGCAATATATATCTAAATTTATTCTCCCTGAAGCTACTGCGGTAGCCCCCTGCTTATGTGAAAATAGAGATACTGCATTTAAAATGTTGCCAAGGGCATTTTTTAAGGTTTTGATAATTGGAAATTTGATTGTGTACATGTTTTGAATAGTTCTGTGGGGTGTCTTTACTCATGTAATTTCTGTGAAAAGAAATATAAAGCTGCTGCAAAAGAAAAGTGATGTGGAAGAAAAGGTTTTTCAACAATTCCCTCTTTATCTATTTCAGTCCAGGTTAGCTATGGTAATTCACCCACTGATACAAAATAATTTCAGTGTGTCTTCAGATGTGAGAAATGCCAGCTCTCATGAACTCAGCATCACAAATATTGTCAAAACATTGGTCAGAAATTGTGCACATTGAAAATCTCTTGTGAGCATTTGATACAATAACAAAGAAAACTGATTTTCAGACACATCTAGCTATGAAATTACTTTAAGACAAAATAAAGTGTCAGAGACATTTTAAAATATTTCAATCATTAGCTTCACATTGAATTCTGAAAATAGAACACTTAGCAATAGAAGCAAATAAATCATCATTAATGTATTTATTTTTTAACATTCATTTTATGATTTGAAGTTGTCATGAAAAATAAACATTTTTCAAGACAGTGAGTTCGTTGAGACAAAGTAAACACTCTGCAAAGGCTTTTTTAGTCTTGTCTCTTCTGTGAATTAAGAAAAAAAGAAGAAAAAAAAAAAATTACCACCACCATGAAAAACTGAATATTGTCCCATGCTTTCTGTCTATTGTATCCACAGAGTTGTAGTGTCCAGGCACAATGTACTCTGGAGCCCAAAATGACAAATCATTCTTCATCCTGTCCATGTGAACATGTCCAACTTCACTTGGAGCTTTCCTTGCTGCAAAAGCTTTCCTGAATTAGTTAGGACTAATAGTAACACTAATTAAGCAATTGCAACTCTTTTAAATCACATACTGAGCAAAAAACAACTGTAGAAGGAAGTATTTGAATGAGTAGCACTAATCTTCTTGTCACATCAGTCAAAGTTTCCAAATACACTTATCCAATGTAAATTTGTCATATTTGCTTTTTATAAAAATATTTTATTGACAACTATCATATTTGTACTCCAGAATATTTTGTTTCACACATGTGAAACATAAATTTCTTTACTAGATGAGATCAGAATTGCTCAATTATGTCCCACAGAGCTTGTGTAATTAACGGTAATAAATAAAACACAACCCTATGCTTTTTATACAAGAATGCACAGAGTAACAACCCTGAACTTCATGGTTTCCATGGATTTCTTATAATTTAGGGATTAAGTTCATATATGCCATATTAGTAATACTAAAATATTTGTTTCTATAGCAACTTCTGTAGTTCCACATAGTATTCCTAAATCACATTAAATTGCAGTGTAGTTTAGTATCTTGATAGCTCTATAGTAATTCTGAACTGTTTATTTGAGCAGGGTAAGCAGAGTTTAGACCTAATCAATACGTAATCTATTGCAGATTTCTTACTGACCCATGTTAACCTCAGCAGTTTACTTGGTAACTGCCAGTTGATCAGCTGCTTCTTTTAATCTCCAGAGATTATGTCTCTTTTAATGAAGATTTTCTGTGAAAAAAATATTATTTTACCCTGAAATAATTTGACTATTTCAAAGAGGCTGTGAAAGAACAGTAGGAAGAGGTGCCAGGGAAGTAAGAGATCATGCCAAGGAGATGAACAGTGAAATTACATCTACAGGTGATGTAAACATCTTAATCGGTGGAATAAATACAGAACTTCCAGTGATTGTAGATGGTCTTTTAGGCTCTAAGTGATTGATAAAATCACAAACTCATCATAAGTATATTGTCATCAGTTCTGTTTGGCAACAGTTTTCTAATCACACACACAAAAATAAAAAATAAAGAAAGCTAGGGCTCCAGAGATTCAATATTTTTAAATGTCAACCCCCTATTTCTAAAGCCCTTCTGAAACTATATGCTTATCTCTGTTCATGGGACTGTACAACTTTCTTAAAGTAACATTTAAAACATGTCTTTTTAGGGGGGATTCAATAATATTCTATTTAAATATGATGAAATATTCAGTTTAAAAATGATGAAAAAATGGGTTGTAAGGTGAGTAATAGGGTTAAAATGAGAAAGTGCTATTTATGAAAGAGATCTATAAGGCTACCTGCAAACTTCTTTGCCAGATTTTACAAATCCATACTCTTTGGTTGTGTTAGTTTTCCAACTCTCAAGGAGATTACATTAAATTTCTATAAAACTGCTTTCTCTATTTAAGGCTTTATAGAAAACATATATGTTCTCTAGGAACACAATGAGAAATATGAGATTTCTAAATTCCGTGTAATTGTTAGAATATCTAATATAATGAGTAAATTGTTGCCCGCTCACTGCAAGTCAAGATGGAATTTAGCAGGCTGTTAGTTATTTTTCTGTTACCCAATACTATTATTCTCACTGCATGAGAAAGTGATTTCTAGATCAACAGTTCAGTATTGACCTCTGTGAAGAAGCAAACACCACTCACTTAGCATTTCATTCATAGTCAGGAGCATTGTGTTGTTAAAATAATCCTAAATACTTCTTTTGCAAGTTAGCTCTATCAGTGATCTATACGTAGAGAGAAATTTCCACCATTAGGATTCTAGAGAACTTGGTGTTCTTGCTCTACACAGAGGAAATGCAGCAGCTCAAAGGAGCAGGATTACCTTTGCTGTGGCAGTTATTGTTGCTGGCTGTCACAGGGCTTGCATGCTCATGCAAGTTTCTATGGTATTCAGAAATTAGGTTTCTGAATTTCTTTAACCCCTCGCCTTGATCATCCACCATCCTCTTCCTGGACACACAGTTCAGGTAAAATCTCCTTTGAAGACTGCATTTTCTAAAGGACTACAGTCAGACGTATCTGCTGAGGTTCACCTTATCATGTTTTCCTAGATTTTGGTGGAAGGAGAAGTGTAGCACCACTTAAAAACAGAGACTACAGTGGCTGTGTTGACCAGCTCAAAAGCCCAGTTAATACTTTTTAGTTGTTATTATGGAGTTTGCCTAGAGTACTAAAATACATTTATTGTATTTTAGTTCTTCTACTTAAATAAAGCACTACAGAAATTTAGTCATCTTAATTGTTCTCATTACCTCATAGAATTCACTTCAGTGAGACTTCCATAGAATTTCTTTATCAGACAAAAAGCATAAAGACAACAAGAGGAAAATAAAGTCTACATTTAAACTGTAATTTTCTGTAACACTGGTAGAAAAGCTCAGCACATTTATTTGCTATTCATTCCATTTTTGGAAGGGCTTAAAGCTGACTGATAACATCAAACATGACCAGAGCTTAAATAACTGGAGGAGATACTCTATACTCTAGTTTTCATTTAACTCACTGGGTTGCAACCCCCAAGGGCCTGCTGAGTAATGTGCTGAAAAATGTGACCTGAATCCCATGTCAGCTCAGACAGCACATTAGGGAGGATGATAGACTGGAGAGTCAAAGTGTGCCTGTGATCAGAAGAGGAGGGCATTGCTGGTGCTGAACAACAAGAGTCAGTGCTCAAATGTACTGAGTGCTCCCAGAGAGCTGAGGAAAGGATCTCCGTGGCAGGGACATATGGCAGAAATCTGTGTTTTCTGTAGTGAATAAACAAGGGATCGAGTCACCTTCAACCCTACAACCTAAAATCTAGGCTTGGGAATTTACACATCCTCCGTTCCTGCACCTTTACAGAAGGTGTTGCCCTTCTGCACCATAGCTCAGCTGTATACTGAAGTGATTGTGTGACTGCAGTGGGGTCTCTCTGTGTATTCATGGAGATAACTGGGGGACTAATCAGCAAGAAGGACCCCCAGGCATATGTTCTTGTGAATTAAATCTCCTTCAGAGAAAGTTAGAAAAAGATGTGAACAATTGGAAGCACTAAATGACTTGTATTCTGAAGGGTCTTGAATATACTAGATTTCAGATAAATACGGTCATTAGTGGTTAAAGTAAAACCATCAAAACCAACATAACTTTTCTTCCTTGCATAATCTGTTTACAGCAACCCCTGTTTTTTCCTGTGTATTCTCCTGCCACTTTCAGACACAAACCATTCTGAAGGTAAATGCCTAATGTCATCTTCAATTTAAGTACTGATTCCCACAAACACTAAAAAATAATATACTACCCTGAATACTAATAAACTTTAATGCTTTTATTCATAACTTTATGAATCAGTAAGATTTATACTTATCATAAAATTCTGGAAGTGAAAATAATGAGAAAGTAATAGACTAAAGTAGGAAACAGTCTAAATTTTCTGATATATTTTTCAGTAAATCATATACAATATGTTGTTGAATATTCTTGGTTTATTTTTTATTCAAAATTTTAATTTTGCTAAAGAAAGATAAGATAGAGGATTAAAATACATAAACAATTTGTAAATTGAAGTTTATGAGCTGCAGTGTTCCTCAGTTTAATTTGAATTGCTTTCACTGAAAAGGATCCCAGCTACAGAACTGGTCTAATATATTCATACTGTTTCTCTTGAACTTTATTACTTTGCATTAATTCTTATTTATTTAATTAATTTTTTTTTCAGATTATTTACAATTATATGTAAGTTACACATGACAAACACATTACTTTTACTGTTAAATTACACTTGCTGAATTTTAACGTCATTAAGAAAACATATCAATGTCCCTATCCATTTATAAGCATGGGCATCTCATGGCACTTTACACACTTCTGGTAGTATTAAACCCTATGTCCTGGCAAAATTCCACAGTAAGTCATAAAGTCTGTCAGATCTCAATTCTGATTTATTCTGGAGTACTTGTCCACTACCAAATCCATGATCTCTTTTTCGTCTGAGATAAATTTTGGCCAATGCTACTGTCAATGTATTATGGGAGGATTTCAGCCTTCTAGATGCAATGCCATCCACTGGGTAAGAAACAGAATTATGACAAATGATGTATGAACTCCTGCTCACCATGGGACTGAGCTAAGCCAGCCACTTGACTTCTGTTTCCCCTCCTGTCACTTACGTGTGCTATCCATTAACATCATAAATTTTCCAGGGCAGAGACTGTTTGAAGTGCTTAGTTCAGGAGGAGCTTAATCCCTTTAAATGCTACTTAAGTATAAATAATAGTAATAAACTCCTGGCAGCAGGCTTCTAATACACTCAGACTTCTGCTGATTAACGTTGTCCCATCAGCTCCTGAACTCCACTCCCAGTCCCATCCCATTGACATTCAGCCGTGAGCAGCCCCAGGCAGCTACACTCCCATTGCTTGGTCAGGGTACAATGCTCGGGCTTGGCATGAACGTGGCAGAGCTGATGTATTCTGCTTTGTTTCTGAAAGACAAAAACTGCAGGCAAAGAGAGCATGCGATGGGTGTGAGGTGTGCGAGTGTTGCAACAGTCTTTCTGCAAAGGTCTTTGGGTGTGGACATGTGGCAATCATCTCTGACAATTGAGGTCATACATCCTGCATGGCCTCTTCCATGTCCATAATGTAGGGCAAGTGCAGTCATCCCAGCTGGACCCCTGGCTTTTGAATGCATGTTGTAGATATACGTTGCTTTCAGCTTTGATATTTTGCAGTAGTAGCCCAAGTGAATGTTGCACATGATCGTGTAAAAGTAGCCTTTAAAGTTTTAGGTCAGGTCTTTCAAAAGGCTTTTAAGATTTGGTTATGAAGTACATTCGCTGGGGGACAGTTGGACCAGATGATCTTGGAGGTCTTTTCCAACTTTTACGATTCTGTGATTCTACATTAGGATATGTGTTCTTGCTGAAACTAGAGTGGTAACTCATGGCTTTTTACATGTTCACCACCATTTTGTTCAGGTCTATATGAACAGTATTGTGTAATATTTACAGAAATCATATATAATTTCATTCTCTCTTGTATATCACTTGGACAAAGGATTAATGTGAAGAAAAACTACAGATAATAGCAATCACCTTCCAGTCATTAGGAAATAAAAACAGAACTAAAGCCATAATCAAACTGATCTGTTTTTCTGGAAGCAAATCTTCATTCCCCTGCAGAAGGATTTTTTAGTCTGACAAACATATCTTGAAAGTCAGGGGATGTGGTGGTATTTCCCTGGATGAAATAAGTTTATTTGCTTGATTCTGTTTCAACTGTCTAAAATTATTGTTATTATATATTGTATATGTTATTTTATCTTTTTATGACATGCATATTTGTGTTCCTCAGATAAATGGGAAGCCCCTGCAGTATATTTTCCCTCATGCAAGGCTCAAACTACTGAGAGACCCAAAGGATCACACAGTTTCAGGTAAATAGCAACAACCCTCTATGAGACATAATAATTAATTTGATTAGCATAATTCATGGAAAAAAAAAAAAAAAAAGGCAGCATTAAAAATAATTCCTGTGTTATATGCAGCAGGAAATTCAGTGGTCATTTTAAATTTTGCTGTTTGGTTGCCACAGAAAGCAGCAGTGCAGAAAAAAAAAGGTCACAATATCTGTTCCAGATATATAAGCTATATAGACATTAAAAGTAGAGGGAAAATCTGTTGTGTTATACATAACAGCAGTCTGCTGTCTGTTGCTTTTTATATAACTCTATATTCTCTGTGTGAGAAGTTTCCTTAAAAATTAACAGAGGAATTAGAAAAACAAGTAGGCTTGTGTAGGTATCCAACATGTACAGAACTGAGAAATTTATTCTTTCTGTAGAGCTACTGGGACTCTTCTTCAGAAGGGATTAGCAGAACAATAGGACCCATTTTTCTGTAATATCCTCACACAGATAAATTTATCGCAGGATTTCAGATTTGTTCTCTTTTCCATAACTCTAACACAAATGTTCACATAAGTCTGACTCCACTCGTAAAGAAGAAGATAGTGGCAGAGGTTATGTTCATTCACCCCTTGAGTGTGAGCAGGAATACTTTATGATCTTTTTACCTATCAAGTTGTAAAAGGCTGCCAATTGCAAGATCTAGCAAGGGTAAGGTTTGTCTGTTGCAGGAATTGGAATTGCACCCTTTCTTATATCTAATATTTACAAAGAACTCAGAGTTTTTCTCATATGTTGTTTGTCTTCCTTCAGAGGCACATGCTTTAAGTGGGTTTGTCATGAAACCATCAGACTTTCTTTTCACAAGTTTAAATTGTAATAGTATGTGTCAAATGCTGTTTCTGTGCAGAAGCAATTACTGACTGCCAGCTTTGGTGTTCCCTTAAGCAATAAGTAGAAAGTGGTACGAACTCACTTGAATTGCTAAATATTGTTTTCACAAGGCTTTTGGCAGTAAAATCTTGATCACTGCCGCCCCCAGCATCCACCTCATATTTAGGGCGTTAAATGAATTTTCTGTATATATTATGAGGTATTTTCTTGCTAGTTGGTGTAACACCCACGGATGATTTTGGAATACATAAGGACCCCTTCGCCCACACAGTACAGTTTGAAAGAAGCAGCCAGGGCTGTGGTTTTGTCAGCCTTTCCTGCCTGGGGCCCTTGCATTCAGCAGGAGTCCCTTAATATCCTTGTGGAGATTTTTTTGTCCTGGGGGGTGATGAGTAATGTTGTCATCCAAGCTGCTCTCATACCCAAGAAGAAGAGGAATGACAACATGACTGTATGTAGCCCATGGTGTAACGTTGCTGAAGGCTTGATTCTCCTACAGCAAGTTACTTACACTTGTGCAATGTAAAATTCCTGTTCTGAATTCTTGACTAGCTTAGCTGCTGGCAGCCATGGCACACGTGCTCTGCATTAGGGGAAATACCATGTAAGTGATGACTGGACAGGCAAGGTTGCAGATATTGACTTCCCATTTATAAATTCACTGCTCAGCATGAGATCACACTGGATTGAATATTCACTTAGGGTCCTGCCAAGATTTCATAGCCCATGCTGGGATTGCTTGATGCTATAGCTGTGCTGTATTGTACGTAACTTCTCCTTGGTGTAAGCAAAGTTGGCTATGTGTGTGCAAACTGCAGTCATACTTCTGGTTTGTAACCCAGAAAAATCCTTGGATCCCTGCAGAGACATACTTCTATCTGGTGTATATACAGATTTCCCTACAAATATGAGGAGGCTGAAACGTGGATTGTACAGAGAAGAGCCAAAGGTGGAATGGGGTACCAACAGGGAGGAACTGAGCCAGAATGAATTGTTATTTCTCCCTCCTTGTACATATTTGAGGTACCATAAACATGTGGCTTTGTGCCTCCCTTTCTCAGTGCCCAAGAATTAAAGTAGATAGAAAAGTTCTTAAATGTGCAGTATTTTCTGCTGAACCCCAAGCTTTCAAAATAGACTCTCCAGGAGCCTCACACATTTTTTTTTGTTTGTTTTTATTTTTTGGTTTAAAAATTCAATTTTTATTACTTGGTATCTACAGACTTATAGCAATATGTCCTTATTAACTAGACAATGAGGCACACTTAGAAATCCAAGTCTAGAAACACAGAAGTTAATTAAAATACTGGTACATTAAACAATATAATCACTTACACACCCACTACAGCAGTAAGACACGATTAAGATTATTGGGTATTGATCTAGATGCCAGGGCTGGTTAGCTGGCTGGTTTATTTCTTTTTCTCTGTTTCTTGGTTTCTTCCCTCTCTCTTGTTCTATTCATCACCCTTTCTCTGTTCCCCTCCTTCTTCTCCTTTTCTCTTTCTCCTTCCCTCTTTCTTATCAAAAGTACCAAATGATTTGTTGAATCATCATATTTAACTGATTGCCTTATACTTGTTGCATAGGCAATGGAAGAGTGTATGTTAAAACAAAACACCTCAATAATGCTGATGTGGGGAGCCAGATCTCCCCAGGGCTCAGCCAGGCACTGTCCAGGTGGCAATGGGAGTCTCTGGTCAAAGATCCTTGCAGCAGGCACTTCAGCTGTATTGGATGAGACTCCCTTAACTGTTGTGTTGCTGAAGCAACTGGAATGTGGTCCTGTGTGACTACAGAAACATGTGTGTCATCCACTGTCTGTGATTATCTTACAGTGTTTGCAAAACACACCGTCTTTGTGCATTAAAGACTGTCTTGTGTGAGCTTTTCTACACATGCAAGAACAGTTTCTACTGATCATTTGAATGATCTATGTGCAGTTTGGTCAATTTGATAGCTGAGTTGCTTTGATAATGTGAGCTGCCTTCCCAATACTGCCAGATTCTCAACTGGGAGAATAAATTAACACATCCTAAATATGCAAACAGTATACCTGTAGGCACACAAGCAAATGCCATGGGTACCCAGCTATACCACAGATGTAACTATAGGGCAAACTTGGATTTCAAACTGACATTACTATTATAATTTGAATCCCATAGATCTCACCACATACTTTACATAGTGAAGGTCAGTTCCTGTTTAGGGATCCAGAAATTGTCACATTATGAATATCAATAGTGTCTCAATTTGTGTGCTGACAACACAAAGCTGGGAGGAGTGGCTGATACCCCAGAGGGCTGTGCTGCCGTTCAGAGGGACCTTGACAGGCTGGAGAGTTGGGCTGAGAGAAACCTCATGAAGTTCAACAAGGGCAAGTGCAGGGTCCCACACCTAGGGAGGAATAACCACAAGCACCAGTACAGGCTGGGGGGTGACCTGCTGGAGTACAGCTCTGCAGAGAGAGACCTGGGAGTCCCGGTGGACTACCAAGAAGACCAATGGTATTCTGGGGTACATTCAGAAGAGTGTTGCCAGCAGGTCAAGGGAGGTGATCCCCCCTCTTTACTTAGCCCTGGTGAGGCCACACCTGGAGTATTGTGTCCAGTTCTGGTCTCCCCAGTACAAGACGGACATAGAAATACTGGAGCAAGTCCAGAAGATGATGATTAGAGGACTGGAACTTGAGAACAGGCTGAAAGAACTGGGCCTGTTGAACTTGGAAAAAAAGATGACTGAGGGGAGATCTCATTAGTGCGTATAAGTATCTGAGGCGAGGGTGTTGAGAGAATGGAAGCAGTCTCTTTTCAGTTGTGCCCAGTGACAGGATAAGAGGCAATGGGCACAAACTGTAGCACAGGAGGTTCCAGCTCAATATGAGTGGACACTTCTTTACTGTGAGGGTGCCTGAGTACTGGGACAGGTTGCCCAGAGTGGTTGTGCAGTCTCCTTCTCTGGAGATATTCAAAACCTGCCTAGATGCCATCCTGCGCAATGTGCTGTAGGTGATCCTGTTCCGCAGGGGGGCTGAATAGATGATCTTCAGAGTTCCCTTCCAACCTCGGCCATTCTGTACAAAATTCAGGCTGTTTCACTGCACATTCTGTGCATACGCTTTCTGCTTATTTGTTTTCTTGCTTAATGAAAACTGGAACTTGAGGTACAGATGCCTTTGGTGCCTCTTACATAATTTTGCACACAGAAACATTTAATGAAAAAATTAGCATGAGAACGAGGTGTCTAAGAATAAGGAACTAGGCCAAAAATGTGATGACAAGAAAATTGTAGCTCTGAATGAAAAATAAATACATACTTGCTAGCTGCCCTGTCTCTGGAGGTTTCTTGTTTCTTCAGTATATGCCATCATCTAGAACTCACAGCTCTTCTTTTCAAGGTATTCACTCTCCCCTCCTCAGGAAATGCTGATAGTTAGGAAGGAATTGACGAGGATTTTCTCTACAAAGATTGATGAATAATTTGCATTAAAAAAAAAAAAAAAAAAGAAAAGAAAAAAAGGAATTGGCATCATCGTTCTGCTGAGGTGCCAAAGCAATCATGGCAATAATCAGAGAATTATAATGTAGCAGTATTTAGTGCTCCAGAAACTCGCTGTTTGTTTTCACTGAGAATCCCTCGTTTCTTTTGGATCCCTTAGCATAACCAGCATAAGCACTGTTTTATTCTGCCAGCATTTTCTCTTCTGGTTTTTAACACTTCATAGAAACATTTGAAGAAGGGAAGGGTGGGCATGATATCGAGGACAACAAAGCATTGTCAATGCCTTTGGAAATGTTGCAAGGAGGAAAACCCACATTGTGTTCTTCCGAACAAGGCAAACAAATTCAGTAGGTCTACATGGTCAAGGAGTGCATCTAAGTGAAAGTAATTCTTGCTGCTTTGCCTTGCATGGAACTGAGACACAAGTAACTCTCCCCTTTTCAAATGTAGGATATTCTGTGTTTCCATGGAGCAAAATGTACTGGTAGGCAGCCACGCTGTCCATGTTGTGGAACATCCTATTCAATTCTGAGGCAAGAGAAAAAGGCAGAAAGCTAATTCAGAAAAAGCTGTGAAGTTTGTATAAGAGCAAAAAAAACTAATTGGACTGTGTGTGGGAGACTGTGTCACCCACC